GAGGACAGACTTATCGTCTTGAATCGTCTTACTTTGAAATTTTGCTTTGAAATAACTTGCCTTCTGTTTCATACTTTTGTTAATTGATGAATCAGGATGTAGGTGTTCGTTCACTCTTTTTGCATATTTCTAGACTTCGCAATATCTTCGAAAATTGTGCATTGATTGTCCAGTGCCTTTGCCATCTGCCGAAGTTAACGCATTGTTCGACATTTGCTTTCCCAATGTCATCCATCTGGATCTTGGCTCTTTGAAGGGTACAAATTGAGATCGCTTTACTTCACAAATCACCTTACTTGACAAGAGAATTGATATAAAAAAGGAGATAATATAGATCAAGAGACCTTAGCAAGAATTAATTTCCTCCAAATTTAAACATGCAGTTTTTTTGCTAAATGTGGGTTCTTTTTTTCAGAAATGAATACCACATTGTTGAAAAAGTTATCAAATTGCTTCCCCAATGTTGAAACTTTGCACATGGAGAAAATAGAACGAGTATGATTTATATTGTAAATTGCATGAAATATCTCATCGCTATACAGAGTACCATAATATCTGGTACTAATATTATTATTATTGTCAAATATTCCATTACTTGAATGGATTTTATTACTTTTCAGATCACTGTTTTGAGCATTTAATTTTTCAATATTTAACATTACAGTTTAGGCTCATTTATTGAAAGTAATTTTAGTTTAAGGTTTAATAATGTCGTTATTGTTATTCATGATTTACATGTTGCATTTTCTAGAGTTCAAAGTGTGATGATAATGCACAGGAATGGGGAAAAACGTTGAAAATGTTATTTGAGGATGAAAGCATTTTTCCGAAGGTGAAAAATTTCTTTGTTGGTAATGTAATTGCATATAGTCCGGAAAGTGATCCAAAATTGCCGGCTTGCAATCGTACGCTGAATTTACTACATATTTACGACGGGATGGGTGAAATTGAGTAAGTCTGCTTTCTTGTGTCGTCGAGTTAGTCGTCGAGTTTGATCATTTTTGAAAATAGTCTTATGACATCATCCTTTGGAATCTGTTGTTTGAGGATCATTTAGCTTCAAGCTCGATTCATTAGACATTGCTGTCACAAGACTTGGCAGTATTTTGGCACACTTTACAACACTCGACACAGACATATTTGATAATACCATTGCTTTTCAGTTT